TCCTTGGTGTCCATGAAGGCTTGAGAGAAAGGGTGAGAGATCATTTGCAAAGATTTGGTATTTATTTTTTTATTCATAGATAATTTAAAATTTGGACATTCTCTGATTATTAATTACGCTGAGAGAACAAGTTTTATTTGCTTTTCAACACCCTTTAACTTATATTTTAGATGTCATATGGGCATTCAGAATTATGCTGCTGCCCCTATCCCAGTCCCCCAGAATTCCCCCATTTACAGCTTTGTGACATTATAGAATGCAGATCTGAATATAGTATGTCATCCAATTTATAGGTTAGTAAAAGACTATGTGTCAATTGAATCCAGCAATCACTATATGCAAGGAAATGGTGTTGTATAGAGTTAGAGAGCTTGCTCTCTAAGGTAGTTTATGTTTAATTTAAAAATAAAATATTGTTATTTTATTTCCTTGAATATCTTAAGACCAGTAATACATGATGAATAACTATTTCTCGATCACTATAGCAAATATTCTTACACCAAGAAATTAAAAGTAACAAAGTAAGACTTACACCTATTATGTTTTTAGAATGCTTTATAGTAGTAGTTGATCACAAAGGTTTTTCTTAGCTCTTCCAATTCAGTGTCTTCTTCAGCCTTTGCTGTTAACTGTGCATTTTGACAATTTTCTGCCATTTGATCTCCCTCACAATTCAGCAGGTAATTTAACTCCCACGTTTATAAATTAGAAGGTAAAATTTAGATGAAATGACTTGCCTGAGTTGCACAGCTAATCAGAAGAGAAGCTAAGACAAAAACTGACTTCTTGTCAGAACAACACTGAGTAAGATAGGCCACTCCTGCATTGTTCCCACATATTATACTTGAATTTTAACTTCCATGTGAAGACAGATATGTAAACATTTGCCCCAAGTAACTCATAAGTTAAGGTAAATTTCTGTACATTTTCTTCTTACTCAGAGTAATAAGTAAAAACTGTATAGTTGAGGAGGAATGTTTGAAAGACAGGGAAAGTGTAAGTTGGTAAATGTTTAGTTATTCTAATCAGAGTTTACTTGCTGGCACTTTATTTTTATAAAATAGTCACTTCTCATTTATTATCAGGAGACTTTCCATCATGATATTTAACAAAAGGTAAACACTTCTGAAGTTTATAGTAAAAAACATTTGGCTTTCTAGACTTTCTTAATGAGTAGTCTAGCTTGTCTCTTGTGAATGTCAAACTTACATAATTGAGTTTTGCTAGCTTCATAATATTGTTTATGGCATGACATGTTGTATACACACTGTGTTATTACAGATATTAAACAGATTTGTCAACAAGTGATGGCAAAGAATTATAATTCAATCTCTTGTGAATTTCATTATGTGGCGAAGGAAAAATTGGATGGTTTACTTCCTGTTAATTGGCACACAACAACTCTATGCCCTGCTCAATGCCTCTCATTAAAAAACAAAACAAAACAAAAGCATACATAAATAAAGGTATAATTCTGTATCTGTTGATAAGAATTTATTCACTCTGTGTACTTTGTGTTTGTTTCCAGCTCAAATGTAGTTATTTAAAAGCTAAGAATATATAATAGTGGTCTGAGATATTCTAAGCCAAAAAGCTTACATATTAAGAATCATATTAGGTAGCTTTGTGGTAGTAGATTTTGTTAAATGAATGGAATTTTTAATTTTATTAGTACTTTTGATTTTCACATAGTATTACTATTTCTTGAATTTTCTTATAGCCTCAATGGAACCCCAAATATTTAATTTAAAACAAATCATGAAAAAGTACAATAGAATTTTTCAAATCATACCAATTGAACATGTTTTTGAAACTTTTTTCCTCTTTCAAGAGAGGAAGAGTGGCAGGGTAATTGATCATGTGAATGTACCAAGTACACCTTATAACCAAATGCACAAGAGTATGTGAGCTGTAGAGTACAAAAACAAACACTCCCCAAATCCCTATGAAAGCATACCCCCAAATTCAGTTTTAAGTCCAATGCTGTTTTTAAATAACTTATTATTTTAATGTAATGGAATCTGCCTTGGATGTTCTCCGAGGCATTTAAATTTTTTTTTTCCAAATTGTGCTAATGACCACTCATAATTAGATTTGGCTATAACAGCCTTCTTCAGCTTATTTGTCATACACTATGTCTGATAAAAAAGTATCTTAGAACTTCTTAAATTTTCTAATGTTAATTTGGATTATAATATCTTAGTGAGCTGAGTATTACGTATTAGTGAATCATTCTGCACCAGCTAGAAAGACAGATGGGTAGCGTGCAGCTTAAAAATCTGTGTAAATAGGAGGACAGATGGGTGGTTTAAATGTTTTAAACGTCTCCATGAAAATGTACCTGTGGAGAGTGTGATTCCTGAAGTTACATACTAAAAAAATCCAATTCATAATTAGGAATAATAGAGTCTATATAAAAAGTAATATTTAAAAAATAACAAACTATGGAATTCATTGAATTCACTAGTTATACTTTTACACTTGTAAAAAATGTAAGAAATTAGAACACAATATTATAATATTTTTGCCTGATATATGCTTACTTTATTGTCTTATTATCAACATTTGGACTCTAGAAAACTTTTTTATTATTTGGAATCAATTTATCTTCATTAGGGAAATGACCTTTTGGACTGGCTGTTGTTAGCATTTGTCAAATTTCAAGTAACAGAAACTTAAAGTAACTTAGAAATGGTAAATGCAAAAAAACCCCCCAAACCAAAAACCTCTAAAGAGCCTTAGAAAGGACTTTGGCAGCTTCCACAGTAGGTGTTTAGGGACTTTCACTCTTTTTCAGGCATTAGTGTGACTTAGCTCCTAGCCAAAGGACTGGTTTCTTATAGTAATTGAATAGTAGGGGGAAGTATTCATGAGAGCATTAAAAATCACTTGTAATTAGTATTATTGAACTGGTTTATTAACTGCTAAATTAAAAAATCACTGCTGTCATTTAGAGAGAGATAAAATGTCTCTAGTGATTTATATTAACTGAGGCAAAAACCTGTTGGTTTCAGAATGAACATTAAAAAATTCAAAATTAATATATAATAGAATTTTGAAAAAATCACAGAGCATTCTTTATATAAGGGGAAAAATTATTTCATGAAATTTTATTTCTATTTTATACATAAAAATTTATATGATTATTTACTGGTTAATGCAATAAAATATATCATCTAAATATATTATCCTGTGGGTCAGTTGTAGTCAAAAAGTGAGAAAACTCCTTTCATTAGTGGCTAGTGATTTTTTTTTTTGATTCCTTCAGATAGAACTGAATTAATATATTTGCTCCTATTCCCCCACCTACTATTAGAACTCCTCTCCATTCAGTAGTGAGAGGGGTTAGGAAGGATACTTTTATAAAGTTAAATAGGATATCTAGGGCAACATTTTGTGAATAACTTTAACAATTATTAGTATCACTAGGAGTAAGAAACTTGCTAATGGAGTATTGCTAGAGATTTCTGATCTGTAAAACAATTATGTGCAGCTCCCTAGGAGAAGTGAGTGATGTTTCTGGTACTTGGAAGCACTCGATCTGTTGGTAGTAGAGACATACCAGTCTGCTAGACAGGTTTGCTTCTTTTTTCACCAGCTGAATGTAGTCACTATACCACAGAATTAAGAGGGTGATGAGAAAATCAAGGGAGTTCTTCTGTTGTTCTGCCTGGGCATGGTTTAAGGGTCTGAGGCCTCCCCTCTCTGCAAAAACCCTGATTTTTTTTCTCTGGTTTTAGTTCTGGGGAATGTTTTTCTAATCCCTATAAATAATGAATACTCAGGTGCTGAACCTAAACAGAATGGCAGCAGAGGAGAGCCTCTGGTGTCAGAAATTCTCAACCTAAGATTTATTTTGGGGAGAGGATTCACTTGGAGGACTCTCCTTGGAAAGAGGGCAAAAATTAATAAATATTTTCAAAAGTTTACTCCCTAAATGTAAGTAATTGGCAAGAAATCCTTGTGTAGTTTATATCAAAATTAAACATCTTCTTGAAAATTGTATTTGTTTATATAGTATTCATTTATATTATTAATCTGTGGATATTTTCTGAATGATTTTAGTAAAGGAACCACAAAACGTTTTATTTCATGATACTGTCATTATCTCCTAGGCTTGTCCCACATCTTGTCTAAATTTCCCTGATTGATTTCCCTAAAATTGCCTTGCTTATGTGGACATGTTTTCTTCACTTTCTCAAAATTTGCTTTCCTTGAGCTTGTCTCCTTGCCTATGTATCATTGCATATTCTTTCTATGTTTTTACTCAGTAGTCCAAATCACTATACCTTAATGTCAAGGACATTACTGAATTTTCAAATACTGAATTCCCAGTGCCCAACACAATTCCTGGTGGTGATAAGCTAATAATATTCATTGAATGAAAGGAAAGAAGAAAGGGAGGAAAAGAGGGTGAAAGGGTGAGAGGGGACAATTATCATCTCTTCTGTCTTTCTTATACTTTTCAGACTTGCCTCATCTCTTAAGGTCTGTTTTCTCTGCAAAGTGTTGTCTGACTTCCCTTGTCTTTGTTGCTATCTCAAACACAGATTTTAAAATTTAACATTATTTTCAAACTTTCTTGTTTTATTGGTGATATAATTTTATATGCACTGCTGTTTCAATTTGGTATAAGCTGCTTGAACAAGAAGGGTCACGTATCTGTACAATTTTACCAAAAAACTGTACATTATTCTTCATTCACCAAACATTTACTGTAATGCATGCCTCATTCAGAGCAGCTCAGTGTAAAGTATGGGTAAAGCATTAAACTGTTTTTCCAGTTCTGATAATAAAATGAACATGGTCAACAGGATCTACTGAAAAAGAAGAAAAAAGAAAGAGTACTTTGCATAGAGCTAAGTACATAGTATGTGTTCAATAACTTTTGATTATCCATAAAATGTGTGAAATAATATAAAATAGTGGTGACTCAGTTTGCATACAGAGACAATAAAACTTTTCTATTATCTCTTTTATAACTTCAATGATTTTTTCAGGGAAAGAAACTGAAAAGGCCAAGGAACGATACGACAAAGCTACAATGAAACTTCATATGTTGCATAATCAATATGTATTGGCATTGAAAGGGGCACAGCTTCATCAGAGTCAGTATTATGACACCACACTTCCTCTGCTTCTGGACTCCCTACAAAAGATGCAGGAAGAAATGATAAAAGCACTGTAAGTCACATTTTATATTTGACATAAAATCCCATCATAAAGTGATTTTCCTTATCAACCTAGACCAATGGGTGTTTCAGACCTGTTTTACCTTGATTCTTCTTGATTTTTAGTTCTGGTATCCCTTTAATTTATGCTTAATTTCCCCAAACCTTTTCAGGCTTTAGGAAAGTCTTTTTTTAAAGGCTCATTTTTAAAATTTGTTATTTTTTTAAATATATATTTTTTTAATGTAAGACTTTTCCTAAACCTTCCAGCCAAGACTTGCTCCTCTTTTTGTATTTTTTTTTGTTTTTGTTTTGCTTCAATTAGCTGGAAATTTATATGAAAAAAATTGATTAGTTGACAAGTGTTAAGTGGATGTCTATCTTCACAGGATTGGGTATTTAAGTTTTGAGCAACAGAAAAACCTGAAGGAAAGAATATTTTGAAGTTTATTTTCCATCTTCTTGTAGAATGAGATTAAAATCAACAAATATTTATTAAAATTCTACTGTATGTAAAGTATATTGAATATGGAAATGAGTGGGCCACAATTTTTGCCTTCAAGGAGCCAATAACAGTATACTGTGGTTAAATGCACATGTATACCATACATATCGATTCAGGACAACAGGAAAAGATATGCCACCCTTTAGTAGACTTTATTTCCTTATTAGCTGGTGTAGGTGATCCCCCATTTTCCCCACTGGAAGATAAATGAAGTGTTTGTAGTCAACTTAAATATGTAAACCTTTAAGGTTGTTGATAAAAATAGTGAAATGCCTACTTAAAATATTTAACTTAAAGATTCAATTATATTTACTTAAAATTAGATGTTGTTGATTCAGAAATATTTATTTTCCTATTCTCGTAATAAATCAATATTTTTCAAACTCTTCACATAAATCTTCAGTAATGGTATCATCATTGTCACTAGAATATCTTTTTGAGATATATAATGATTTCCCACAGCATATTATTTTTATTTTCTAAGAAATTGGTTCACAAGTAGCATTTAAAAACTTCAGGCATGGTGATATCAGTGAAACTGCATCCCATGTCACAGGTATTCATACAACATTGGGAGACTTCGTCCCCACCACCTGCCATGTGTCTTTAAAGGTGATTATTAATGATCCCATTATAATGACTTACTATATTGCTGTATTAGAATTATCTAGACAGGCTTATTTACATTTCTGTCATTTACTACTTTGAATTATTAGGTCATAGCCCCAGTAATATTTACTAAATCCTCATTAAATTTCTCTGCCCTCCCCCCTTTTAAAAAATTGTGTCTGGTGATTTCTATAATCATTCCAAACTAGCATTGCTTAAAGTTTAAATCTATTTTTTCTACCCAAACATTATTTTGCTATTTAAAATTAAGTGATAGTAGTTAATAATAAGAGAAATTTTGTAGTGGTTTTAGAAAAGAAAAACAAACAATGCCTTATATTTATTTGGGCATATGCAGGATAAACTTGTCTGTCCACACGTTGTTGAAGCCAGTAATGAATTAATGGTATAGCATTCTTAAGTAGGGATTAAGTCTTTACAACAGAATAGTTTTTCCTTTTGCATTTATTAGGTAACACTAAAAAAAAAATTGTGACATTTTTGCTGCTGACTGGAGGCCAGGAGAATATATCTAGATGTCATCGAAGGTCAGAGTTGAGGCCCAGGAGCAAGAGAAGAACTAAATGGGAGGGCTTGTGTGGAAGTGACAGATACTAGAAAGAAACATTAAAGAGACCGTTGTGGGCCCATGGTTCCATGTAATGGAATCCAGCATTTCTATGATATTATTGAGAAACAGAAAGTGATCAACACTGACCTTATGTTTAGGCGTCTTAAATACAGGTTAGAAATGGTAATGCCTTATTTTAGATAATTTGCAGATATTATACTTTATCAAATGTAAGTTGCTTATTTGTACATTTGTGTAATCCCTTTACTATCCAAGTATATGAAAAAAAGGTGGTACATAAAACCACCATTTGTAAATACTGTTATTACATTTCTTATGTCTATTGTTATGAATCCTTTTTGTCTCTGTGTTTTTGTTGACAAACTTAAAAATGTTGTAAAATTTTATTTTTGTTTTCAGAAAAGGCATATTTGATGAATACAGCCAAATAACTAGTCTTGTTACTGAGGAAATAGTAAATGTCCATAAAGAGATTCAAATGTCGGTTGAGCAGATAGACCCTAGCACAGAATACAATAATTTTATAGATGTTCACAGGTATGTATGTTTTCATTCTTCTTTGAGTATTGATTACAGTATTATTTTTTTCTATCATATAATATTTAACCAAATTAAATAAGAAATATTGAAGTGCTATTAGGACATTATATATTTCAGATTAATTTGCCTGCTTTTAATTATCATATTTAACATGTATAATGTACACACACATTTTTTGCCCAAATTTTTGGGAAAAAACTTTCATTTTAATTTTTAATTAATTAATTGATTTCTATTTAGAAACAAAACTTATTATATTCAAGGGTATTATTTTCCACACAGATATCATTATGGCTTTCTAGAATTATACTTTTAACATATAAGCATAAATAAAAGAATTAAAAACATTTATATAGATATTGAATTAGTACTATCCATATCTAATGCGCATTTTTAATTTTCCCTCAAAAATTCAGGCAATAAGTGTATATAAATGGCAAATTATGGTATTTTCAAATTCCTTTCTCCCTGAAGATAACTATTTATATTATAATCTTTAAAAATGTGTCAATTGTCACTACATCATTTCTTAAGCCCATATTTAATCCATGAAATTATATTTTTTAACATTTCTATAATAATGATACTCTGCCTTTGTACATTAAGCTTTATAATATACCAGTTACTTTTCCATACATTCATCTTATTTTATACTCATTACTATTGTGTCAGGAATAAAACCAGTTAATATCCACATTCTATAAAAGAGGAAATTAAGGCTAAAATTACATGACCAGATCTTTGATGCCTAGGATTTAATTTTATTTATTCTATTTAAGTTTACTCTACTTTGTTAATATAATTTTTGATGAGAAAAAATATTCTGCCTTTGGTATACTAAAATAAATTATGATAGGATATTCATATTGATCAAAATTATTTGGCATGCTTCACTAGAACTTCAGCTGCTAAAGAGCAAGAAATTGAGTTTGATACTTCCTTACTAGAAGAAAATGAAAATCTTCAGGCAAATGAGATTATGTGGAATAATTTAACAGCAGAAAGTTTGCAAGTAATGTAAGTATTTGGAAAGCCTGAACAGTTTAAATATTAGCATTATTATAATATTTATAGCTGTACATTCTGAGATTTAAAATACCAATTTTTGTTTTTTACAAGTTATGAAAAATAATAAGTTTTTGGTCAGAATGAAATGTTTTGAAAACTGTGTTAACTTTTACTCATTATCCACTAATTTTGGTAATTTTGAAAATCAAAATTCTGTGTGATATATTCATTTAGTTATTACTAATATCTTATATTGGCACAATGCTTTATTCTTTTCAAAACTTATTTTTTAAACCTATTTCATCCTCAAAACTTATTGGCAGAACCATTTTGGAAATGAGGAGACTGACTGTTGGTGGTAAGAGACTTGTAGATGTCAGCAGTGTTTAGTACAAAATTTGACTCATAATTGTTATTTTAAAGCAGAGATGTCTTCTATTATAGGCTAGCAAATGAATTCCTTCTTCACTTTATTGTTGCTATTTCATACAATTTTAAAGGAGTTTTGAGAAATCTTAATGTGTATTTTTAGTCCTTTTAAAGTATTAAAGCCTATTAATAGTACATTTATTAATTGGAAAATACAATTAAGCCATTCTACTTTTAAATATTTAACTTGCCTCTTGATTTTTTTCAGGAAACTTAAATCTATTAATAAGCACTGTATGTAATTGTTTCTCTGTCAGAACCACAATTAGAAATGATTATTCACCCATTTTCTCTTTAATATTAAGCATGTTATATTATCAGGCCTGTTGGAAGTTTACCTGAAAAGAGTTCAGCCAAAATTTCCATCTAATAAAATTGATCTCCTTTCTCTTGGTCAGTAACTAGTATAGATAAGTAACTGAATGGTAGGATCCTGGGACTAGCTCTTGGACAGGGGTAAGATATCTTTAAAAAGTTGGCCTGATGGGATTGAGGAAACTAACCAATGATTGTTGAATCACCTATAGAAGATGAAGTCTTAATAATTATGGAGGATTGACTGTGGATGAGAGGAATGGAGGCATGGGAGTACCTGCATTAGAAGGTTTTCCCTGGCAACCATATTGGGATTCTTGAAGCTGTTCCCCAAGCTTTGAAGCACTTCACAGTAGCTGTACTTTGGTTTTAGATGTACTGTTATATTGTCAGTTATCTCTACAACAGTGGTTCTCAGCCTGGGTGAATTTTGTCCCCTGAGGAAATTTGACAATATCTGAAGACATTTTTGTTTATGAGGTGGGAAAGTGTTACTGATATCTAGTGGGTAGAAGCCATGGAAGCTACTGAACATCCTTCAGTCACAGGACAGCCTCCTACAATTACCTGGTGAAAAATGTCAGTAGTGTCGAGGTAGAGAAACTCTGCTCCAAGCAATAGGATTTAATGCCTGGCACAAAATGGACTGTAGAGTTTGTGACTTCTTGTGCAGTGACAAATTCCATTTCTTAATTCCTGTGCTGCTTGGTGAAGGAATATGATGTAAATTACTCCTGTTTTTTAAAATTATTATATTGTTCCCAAATAATTTATTTATTTATTCATAAAAAATATATTTATTGTGTATTTAAGTTTGTAAGGGTTAATACTTTCAAGGAGTTTACTCTAAAATTGATCAATTTATTTTAATAAACACCAACAAAGAACAAGCATATAAATTCTGGAGTGTAATGTGGTAAACTTAAAAATAGCTACCTGTTATAAGCTTAACTAAAAGAAAAGATTTTATAACCAAAGAAGAATTTGCTTTATTGCTTTTCAGGGTATAATGAGAGCAACGCTAATTATGCTCATAAATCATTATTTTTAATTATGATAAAACAACAAAAATGTAATAAACTAAAGATAATGAATCTTTGATAATGTGATAGATGATTTACTTGCTTACATCTTACTGAGACAAAACTTCAGCTACATTTCATTGAATAGCATCTAAATTCAGGATATGAATTTAAGATTAGGTTTTCCTCAAGAATTTTATTGCAAGAATGAGTTATTCAATGTGTCTGTTGGGAGCGTCAGGATAATCTAAGGTAATTCCATATATATACGCATATATATACACACACGCATGCACACCCAGGGTGGAGCAAAAGGAGGTTTACAGTTATTTGTATGGAAAATAATACAATAATGAATCAGTAGTAATTCAAGAATAAACTGTTTTGAATACTCACAACTGTAAACCTCCTTTTGCCCCACCCTGTATGTTTGTGTGTGTGTATATATATACATGTATAGACTATGTCTTGAAATGGTGGTGAATGAATTGGGTAAGTAGGGAAGCATGTTGGGGGTAATATTTATAATAATGTTAAATAAATGTGATTTTATTTCTTATCTCTTTACATTTTTTTTTAGCGTGACTCTCTCCAGAATATTAGGTACCTATTTTTCATTCCATTTTATCATTTCCTTTTACTAAGCATTTGTTCCTGAATCGCATGGTATTAAATAGTTTTAGAGTAACACACTCTCAAAAGCTGTTTAAAAATGCTAATATTTTATGGTCTGTGCTTCCCTCTATTCTTCATTTTTTCTTAGCCCATTTAAGAGTTCTAATGCATTAATATCAAATGATATTCCGAAAAACACAAGAAACATTTTCCTTTTTTTCATTCATTTATGTTTGTTTAAGAGGTCAGTGACCCTGTTCATTGTGAAAGGTTACATTAGTTTGGAAGTAATAATCATTAGTTTGTGACTCCTGGAGAAGTTTTCTATAAATAGGAGTGATACCGGCAATCTGCCAGACTTCTGATTAGTAGTGACTATGAAAGAGAGAAAATTGGACCACATTTCTCTTGGACTCTTCAAAATCTTGGCTAAATGTCAGATGTGGTGAATGCTTAATTAACATCTTGAGTGAGTGAGTGAATGAAAACTGTTTTATGGAGAGACTTCAGGGAGTTTCTGAATAATGGGCGTCATATCTGGCTTCATATCAGGGTCACTTAGGGAGCTATAAAAAATGGTGATGTGTGGGATTCAACCCAAAGCAACTAAATCAGATTTTCTGAGGGTAAGATAGGGCATGAGAATTTATGGTAAGCTTTCCACTTAATTTTAATGTGCAGACAGGATTGAAAACTTCTGTCATAAACCCATTAAAATTGTTTGTAGAAATGTGTATATTACCTTCTGGAGGAAGTCTCTGAAAATTTTTAGAGGGCTTCCTGACCCAAAATGGGTAAAGACTACTACTTACTTGAATATCTGTCTTTTCTATTTAAAGAATATCTTTTCGTTAAATGTTGCTAATGAATATATTCCTCAAAGTGTATAGAATTATTGGGGAAAACTAGCATTTTTACAATAGACTAGCTAGAATTCGTCTTGAGTTTTAACTTTGTTTTTTCTTTTGATCTGTTATACTTCTGAGCCAATCTTGACTTGGAAGGTATTTGAGATTTAAATAAATGCCCTTTTCCTAAGGTTATCTCTTTTACTTTGCTAGTCATGAAGCGACATCTTTTAATTTTCTTCTTTTTGTTTTTTTGAGTCTTAAAAGTAACATAAAAATTATTTTTGTTAGCAGAAACTTACTCATGAATTTAATAATTTATATTCTTGCTTTCTGTTTATTGTATCATGTAGAGTTTTCTCATATAAATGTAGGAGATTCTGAGATTAATATACAACTAGTATCTATATCCAAAACAAGATTATATAATGTTGCTGCCTGCCCCTTTCCAGGCTTGATGGATTCTAATGATATAATAGTGACAAAATTATTGCATTTACCTATCTAAATATATGTCACTAAGCATTTCATCATGTTCTAAAATTATCTGTTAACTGTATAAACATTGCATGTATATATATACATATATATATATAGTATGTATGAGTTAAACTCAATTATTTATCAGATTATTTATTTCCTATGTATAAAAATATTTTTGCTTGGTAGATCACCTTTATGATAGAGGGCTATTTTATGGTTTCTCATAATTTCTGGCACTGGGCACCTGAGAATGTGTACTTCCCACTGCACAGGCACTTAGGTTGCATTACCTTCAGCCTTGAGCCTGATGTTGCTCCCTTTGTCTCTGTTTTCTGCAGCCTCTCTCTTTCCCCTCCAACAACCTGCCACCATTGACTTCTTTTTTGGATTTCTCTTTGTCAAATGCTGGAGGAGATACTATTCTATGATTTTTAATCATCCATTTATCATGATTATATATGCAAATATTCTAATGTATCAGTATCTAATTGAATAATTTTAGTTTATCAAAATAACTTAAAAAATCAGGTCTATGGAGTTCTGAAATAAGAAGGTATTTAAGTGTTTCAAATGTATTATAAGTTGTTACTGTCCATCCATAGAAATATATTTGAATTACAGTCTTGTATTCTAAACTGAAGTCCAACCTTAGGCCTCATATTTTCTAGTGCATTTTTTTTAAAAATTAAAGTAATCATGAGTTTAGCTTTTACAGTGGGATGTAAGTAAGATACATTAATTGAACAGTGGTAATTTTCTAAGCCAGGAGAGCCATTTACCAATGATAAATTAATTTAATAGTGTTTCATTGCAGTAGCTGAAGGAATGTGTCTAGTGAAAATAAACTTGTTTATAACTATAAGTCTTTCAATGAGAACATTTGCGTGAGGAGTTGAGCCATTGAGAGCTACATCATTAGTTAATTAAAAAACCAAGGCAAATGATTTCATGTGGTTTTCCCTGACTCTTAATGAGTCAGCAGGTGTGATCTAAAAGTGCTCAATTGTTGTTTGTTTGAAGAATAAATGCCAAGTTTTAAGTGACTGAAGACTTAACTCTTTGTAAACAGCCTGAGTGGATCAACTACAGGTAAAGATATTTTCAAAGAAGTTAAGAAAACCCTAATTTAGTATAAACTTTAATGGAATATTTTAAGATGTATTACAAATGATGGTGCTAAAAAATGTGTGGATCAGAAAAAGGCTAAACATTATCACCCTCAAAATATTTGAGGCTAAACATTATCACCCTCTTCTCATAGTAGACTAGCATTGTGATAAATTGTACTCAATTATTA